ACTATGATCAAATGATCTAGAATTCGATATTCACCCCATTCTTCTACTAAAAAATTAAATTTAAGCACAAAGTAGGTGAACCTATATATTGTCTGTGCCAAATGGCTCGCGTGAGGGGCATGTTAGAAATGTAATATAAAGTCATTCATATGTCTTCAACTAAAGCTTAAACTTTTGGGAGAATGATAGAATATGTAAAAGATATCTTATAATATTATAATTATATATTAAAATAGTTTCGGGTATCTTAGATGATCTCTTAGGTTTGGTTCCCATATTTTTATATTTCATGATTTGTTTCCTCATTTTAGGAGTCTGCTATTAGTATAAACAGGAAATTAGTTTATCTTACGTTACATATTACATCATTAGTAAGGTGAGCCTGTATATTGTCTATGCCAAATGGCTCTTGTGTGAGGGACGTGTTAGAAATGTAATATAAAGTCATTCATATGTCTTCAACTAAAGCTTAAACTTTTGGGAGAATGATAGAATACGTAAAAGATATCTTATAATACTATAATTATATCTTAAAATAGTTTAGGGTATCTTAGATGATCTCTTAGTTTTGGTTCCCATATTTTTATATTTCATGATTTGTTTCCTAATTTTAGGAGTCTACTATTAGTATAAACAGGAAATTAGTTTATCTTACGTATTACATCATTTCACATAACTCCACTTATGTGTGCTTACATGCATGGCTTGTCCCAAGCCAGGGTAAAGGAGGAGGGTTGGCGTCAAGTGAAGTAAGCCGGCCGTAAAAAAAAAAAAACAGCTATATTTATGAGATAAACCCTTAAAAAAATTTGTTAGGGCATACCCCTTCATAACGACGCGTTGCATCGGACCCCGGGTGTAGCAAAAAATAGGCAAGGGGCTGCATCAGATCCCGAATGTAGTGATAAATGGACTAGGGTCCTTGCCCAAAGGCAAGGCGCCACATCTTCACCCGGATTTGGTGACAAGTATGTCAGGGTCCCAATAAACAGATAAAGTTCAAGGAAAGAATGTTTCATGAAGGACCATGGGAGTTTGATGGAGGAGCAAATGAAATATGAAATGAGATGGCTATGTATATCAAAAATGTGGGAAGGAAGGTGTTAGGAGAAAGCAAAGGAAACGTGGTGGTGGAATGAAGAGGTGCAGGAGGCAATTAAACAGAAGAAGGGATGCTTTAGATATTTGCATAAAAGTCTTAATGATGAGAACTAGCAAAAGTTTAAATTGGCTAGAAAAAATGCTAAGAAAGCAATGCGATAAGCTAGAGGCAAGGTTTTCGCCAATTTGTATAAAAATCTTGGGAGCAAGTGTGCTGAAAAAGGTATATATAAACTTGCAAAAATGAAGGATAAGAAAAGTAAAAAATTCACCCAGGTTAGATGCATCAAGGATGAAAATCAAAAACTTTGGTAAGAGATACAGAGGTAAAAGAAAGGTGGATGAACTACTTTAACAAGCTATTTAATAGGGATGGCGATAAAAGCGAGGTGGATTTGGAGGACACTTACGATGTTTTGAATAGAAGATTTGTGCACAGAATCAAAGCACATGAAGTTAAAGGAAACTTCAAAGAAAATGAAGACTAGTAAAACTTTGGGACCAGATAGTTTGCTTATTGAAGTGTAGAGAGACTTGGGGGATGTGGCAATAAATTGGCTAACCAATATTTTCAATAAGATTATTCAAACAATAAGATGCCTGATGTATGGAGGAAAAGTATGTCTGTGTCTATTTACAAAAACAAGGGAGATATTCATAATAGAGGCATTATACTATGAAGTTGTGGGAGAGAATTATTGAACATCGCTTGAGGAGAGAGACCAAGATCTCTGTAAATCAATTTCAATTTATGCCAGGAAGATGTACCATGGAAGCCATTTTCTTGATACGACAATTAATGGAGAGATATCAAGAAAAGAAGCAGTACATATAGTGTTTAGAGATCTTGAGAAGGCATACAATAAGGTTCCAAGAAAGGTTCTATGGTGGATTCTTGAGAAGAAAAAAGCACCATCAAAGTATGTAGATGCAATCAAAGACATGTATGATGGTGCTACTACATGTGTGAAAATTTGTAATAGAACATCAAGTTATTTCCCTATCACATTAGGTATACACCAAGGCTTTACTCTAAGTCTTTACCTCTTTACTCTAGTTATGGATGAACTAGCAAAAGATATTTAAGAGGAAATGTCATGGTGTATGCTTTTTGCGGATGATATTGTGCTTATTGATGACACCAAAGCTGGTGTTAATACAAAACTAGAATTGTGTATAAATACGTTGGAGTCTAAATGATTTATATTAAGCCGAAGTAAGACTGAGTATATGAAGTATGAGTTTTCTCTGATAAGAGATGGAAATCAAGATTTTGTGCATCTACTTGGACAAGAGGTATTCAAGAAAGATGTTTTTAGATATCTGGGATCAATTTTGCAAAAAAGTGGAAAGAATAATAAGGATATATATCATAGAATCAGAACAAGGTGGACTAAGTGACGTAGTATCAGGATTTTTGTTTGACCGCAAAATTCTTCTTAGGCTAAAAGAAAAATTTTATATAACAGCAACTACAATGTTATATGGAGCTGAATATTGGCCAGCACATAGGCAACATGAGGATAAAATGAGAGTTACGGAGGATGTTAAGGTGGATGTGTAGTAATACGAGAATAGATAAGATAAGAAATGAATATATTCGACGAAAGATAATAGTAGTACCGGTAGCTAAAAAGATGAGAGAACATAAATTGAAGTGGTTTGGGGGGTACGTAATGAGTTCAAGACTGCTAGATGCTCTTATAAAAACAAAAGTTTGTTACTGTTGAGATATATAGTCCCACATTGGTTGTATGTGCAACTAATGTGAAGTTTATAAGGCCTTGGGCACTCCCACCCTTTGAGCTAGCTTTTGGGGTGGTGACCTCAAGGTTCTTTACATAGTATCAGAGCCTCGTGTTCCGGGTTCGATCCTTACCGCCCCCCACTTTCTTACCCAATAGCTTAAGCTTTTGGATTGAATTGGTTCTTTACATGGTATCAGAGCGTTCGAAATCTCACCGCCTCCCACTTTCTTTGTAGTGGAATTTCCACATATAGGTGGGCTTGTATGTTGTCCACCCTTCAAGCCCAGTGGCCCCCCGTGTGAAGGGCCGTGTTGAGAAATATAGTCTCACATTGGTTGTATGGACAACTAATGTGAGGTTTATAAGGCCTTGGGCACTCCCACCCTTTGAGCTAGCTTTTGGGGTGGTGACCTCAAGGTTCTTAACAAGTGCCCAAGACCTTATAAAGGCCACATTAGTTGCCCACACAATCAATGTGGGACTATATATCTCAACACGCCCCCTCACACGAGAGCCCATTGGGCTTGAAGAGTGGACCATGCAACAGGCCCAACCTACCTGTGCTAAGAAACGCCACAAGAGAAAGTGGGGAGCGGTGAGATTTCGAACGCTCTTATACCATATTAAGAACCTTGGGATACAATCAATGTGGGACTATATATCTCTATATGTTTGAGTTAGCATTTAGAGTGGTGTATCCCAAGGTTCTTTACATGGTATCAGAGCCTCGCCGCCCCCCACTTTCTCTTGTGGCATTTCTTAGCACAGGAAGGCTGGGCCTATTGCATTGTCCACTCTTCAAGCCCAATGAGCCCTCGTGTAAGGGAGCGTGTTGAGATATATAGTCCCACATTGGTTGTATGTGCAACTAATGTGAAGTTTATAAGGCCTTGGACACTCCCACCCTTTGAGCTAGCTTTTGGGGTGGTAACCTCAAGGTTCTTTACTCTTACTAAGAGCTTGACACAAAGAAAGGAAGAGGTAGAACATAACTTACTTGAGAGAAAGTAGTAAAACAAGACTTAATGGAGTGGGATATAGATTGGCGGACGGTGTGTCTTATGACGGATTAGATAAAAGCTATTAGCATTGTAGAGGGTTAGACCTGTTTTTCTTCCTATGTTTCAAATGGTCCCTTTTTAGCCTTTTTCCTCTTTATTTCCCTCTCTTTCTCTACCGTCCTTCGTCTCCTTTTTTTTTAATTTCTTTCCTTCTTTTCTTTTATTTATCTTTTCCTTTCAATCTTTTTTCTCTTATTTATTTATTTATGTTTTTATTTTTCTTTATTTTACTCTCTCTCTCTTTTTGTGTTCCTCTATTTCTTTTTCTTTTTTTCCTTTTTTTTTCTTATTCTTTTTGTCCTCTTATATATCTTTATTTTCATTTTATTTTAATTTAATTTTCCTTTTAATTGTTTACTGCTATTTTATATATATATATATATATATATTTAAATTTTATTTTTATCTTTTATCTCAATCTTTTCGTACTTTTCATTTGGGTTCATTTACCACCCACTCCAACTAGCTTGGGATAAAAATATTGCTGATGTTGATGTTAATTACACCATTTCACATCCTTCACAACAATATCAACATAATCTCATTCTTCTGAGCATTTGTTTTCCTCCCTCTAAACCTAAAACCCTATAATTTCAACAACAATACAAGTTGATGTTCATATTGCTTTCAGAATTACATAGAAAACTTTAAATGACTAAACCTATGACAATCTAACCCACTCTAATCTTTGCCGTCTATTCATGCCAAATTCTCGTGCAATTTGTTTCAAGGGATTATCAAGTACAATGCTCTTGGAAAGAAAGACAAAGATTCGACTATCTTTTGTCACCAAGAGCACTCACAAAACAAGGAGAATAAAATAGGCACAAATTTAATGTGGTTCGACCTACAGCGAACTATAGGGCAACTTCCAGAGACAATATATCAATAAAGATTGCAATGTGTAGTTCCCCCTTCCACCAGAACTTTCCTTGAAATTCTTAACTCCTTCTTGGATCACACCGTTGGCTTTTCATGACAGGTTGTATTTCAGACAAAGCCCATAACTAAATACAAGCCACTTTACAACAATTAAAATCATTTTTTGCATACATTCATAAGACTGCCATTATGGTAAGAGAAAAAGTACCTTGCGCTTCCTGTTATCCAGAGGCTGGACTTCAATGGCAAGTAATGTATCAACATCATCAGCAGTGATAAGATAGTTGGGCTGCTTTGCCCCTATATTTATGAACAATGATTATGATTGAGTTCATCATGCAAGGATGGAAGAAAAGGAGAACATAATCTCAAACAGAAGTATAACAATACCCTCAATATAATTAAAGGAACCATCTTCCAAATGTCGAATCCACTGGCAATCCAACAAGAGGGGACACAAAAGGCAATGTCAAATGCTTATGACATATATCTAACATTAATACTATATAATGAAAAACACTTAAAGGAAATAAAGTAATAAGAAACAAGTTCCAAATTATAAAATAATAAAATGCACCTCAAAATTACAACTAGTGGTGCCATGGATGGAGTATCCGCATGCCTGAAGTTCCCTTCCTGGAAGAGCTTCTCCTGAAATTTGAAGGCTCTCTATAGCTGGTAATGGATCATCATCTGCAGCTGAAGAATGAATTATTCAACTTGGAATAGCCAAAAGCAAAGCTCTGAATATTTAGTAAAGCTCAAAGGTCATTAATTCTTACCCTCAGAAGACGAAGGTTCTTCAAGAACTGGTGGTAAATAAGGAGAAAATGAGGAATTTGGATCATCTACGGTGGTTGTATAAGGAGGGTTGCCTGAACTCCAGTTAGTAGATGTTTCTCTGTCACTATGATTTCCATCTCCATCAGGATCATCCACTTCACTGTTGCTCACAGGGTCACGAAATGTGACTTGTTTGTTAAACATCTCCTCTCCATAATGTGCTGGTAGAGTATCACCCTGAGTAACCACCAGGTGGGTGGGTGCATCATGGGCTGAAGAATTCCTGTGAAATGGCCAATATATTTGAGCAAAGATGCTATTTTCTAACAGCCCAACGAATGTCAAATTTTATCACTCCTTTACCAATACTAAATCAAGTATCACAAAACTCAAAAATTCATATTTCCAGCCTCCTGGGGGTGAACTTTAGTTCAACTTAAGGAACTGATAACATAGCAGATAATGGAAAGAAGAGAATCATATCAATAAGGACTTGTTTTTATATGAAAAGACCCAGTAATATATCACAGTCCTTCTCAAATTGTAAGAGACAAAATGCAAGAGAGAATTTTTATTTTCAACAAGAAGCTGCGACAGACCACATGGATTCAATGTGCTATGGAATAAGCCATTGTAGATAAATATGTTTATCTCAATCAAACAGGAATTCATTTTGTCTATATCGGAACACCCAAGGTATCAGAACAATATTATCCCATCTTGAGCACCTATTACTATTGAGGTTCCCTAACAAAATTAACTTATCCACTTGAGTCAAATGGAAGGGAACAGCATCGCATGCATCAGGACCACTTTAACAAAGATTCCATGAAAACAGAACCCACCAATACATATTCAGTTCAGAGTAGCAGTCTCCATTTGATCAGGCTCACCTGCTTGCAAGAGGTGAATATCTCCCCAAACCATCAGCATCAACATTCGTTGTTACCCCACCACCTAAGCCACTCTGGTGGGGACCCAATATTCCCCAATCAGTGCCTCCCTGAGCATCAACAGAGACCTGAGTCCTTACATGGGAGTACATATGCTGAGGTACTAGTTCAAGGCCATTTTTATTCTGATAAAAATGGTAATATTTAGATTTTTATTTAAGGAAAACAAGGAAAAGGGACAAAATCGCAAAATGACCATACTGAAGTTGCCAAAGGTGCACCAATCGAGTGAGATGATTGTGTAGCAACATTTGCATGGTTCATATCTGAACGCCAAGGTGTCAGTTGATACTGAGACTCCTTTAGTTTCGACTGCAACAAAGAACAAATATAACTGATAAACCCAAATCTCTAGAAAAAAAGGGAAATATAAACATTCGAAATTTTGAGAATATCCAGTCCAGTTAAACTTTAGCACTAATTCTATTGAAATACCATATCAAATCATAATATTGTATACAGAAATATAGAGCACCCAAGCATCTTCCCAACATACCTCAGTGAGAAGAAGTTTTTCCTGCAAATGTTTAAACAAAACCTGCCAAAAAGCAGAATTCACTGAGAATTCAATATAGGTGCGGTCCTAGAATTCGGAAGAAAACAGACAAAGGGACAGCTTTCAGTGTCACCAATATGACCTTTTATACAGAGCTTCAACAAAATTTTCCATGTGAGATATCAACCAACTGCTTGAGAAAAAGTGGGGCCAAAATTTAAATTTTTTTACACCCCACCACAAAGAATGGAAGAAAAAACAAATAGTTTTGCAAAATTTTATTTATTCCATCATGATTCGCACATCAATGGAGATGATAGAAACAAATAAATCCAGTAGAAAATACAACACAGCCCACGTATGATGCTAATTTTAGATGACATCAAAATATCAAAAGAGGGGGAAAACTTGTCTTCAATGGTAGATTGGCAGTTACCTTCGCTTATATTACTATTGAGCAAAAAAATTGAGTTTTAGAAGTCAAAAGAACGCACATGTTTGGATTATGCTATTTATTTATTTATCTTCTTCTCTAATTTACTTTTTCCCTCTTATTTTTTTTCCTCTTATTTAATTATTATTTTTCTCTCTTATCTATTTTTATTTTAATTTATTTTCTTTTTCTTTTCCCACAATCTTTTCTTGCTTTTTATTTGAATTCATCGCCCGCCAACCCCAACTATTTTTGGATAAAGACATTGCTGATGTTAACGCAGTTGCGCTCAAAAAAGCTTTTCAGCCTAGAGCTCTCTCTTGAGCATTTTCATTATAAGCTTTTCTAAATGCAAAATATGCTAATCCAAACAAAAAAGACATTTGAATTAAGTATTACTATTTTTTTTTGGAGACAAGTATTACAATTTTGAAATTCACATATAGTAGTAAAAATAAATATTTTGGAGGTTTTCACAAGACTAGAACCCAAGAAAATCTAAACCAAGATGGCCTCAGTGCGCCAATTCCTTGCCCTTGTTACTATCCGACACTGGCCACTTTTACATCTTGACATTAAGAACGTTTTCTTACATGGTGATTTGCAGGAGGAAATTTAAATGAAACAACTGCTCGACTTTGTTGCTTAGGTAGTCTGGGTTGGTATTCAAATTCTGCAAATCATTACATGGCTTGAAATAGTCACCTTAAGCTTGACTTAGCCGCTTCAATTCAATTGTTCAAGCATTTGGTTTAACCCGTAGTAAAGTTAATTTTGTTTCCTATCAACACATTCTCTTGATCAGTACATCTATCTTCTAGTCTATGTTTATGACATGATCATCTCATCGCTATCATTGATCAAATTGGGATTGAACAACTGAAACATAACTTGTTCAACTAGTTTCAAACCAAAGATCTTGGCAAGCTCTGTTATTTCTTAGGCATTGGAGTGGCACAATCTAGACATGGCATCTCCATCTCTCAAATGAGGTATACCTTGGATATCTTATAGGAAATTAGCATGTTGGGGTGCAAGCCTGCTGATACAACTATAGATGCTAATGTCAAACTATTAACTGAACAAGGGTAGCCACTAATAAATCCATGCAGTTATCGGAAACTAGTAGTGAAGTTAAATTATCGCACTACAACAAGACCAAATATCTCTTTTGTAGTTAGTGTAGCCAACCAATTCCTTGACTCTCCATGTGATTCTGTTGGACCCCTAAAATGGGTTTATGAACGTAGGAAGAAGCAGAATAAAGATAAAGGCCATAGTGATCAGCCCATTGCATTGGCAGATTCGGACAAGCAACCCATGACAGTAAATGTGCAGGCCATGGCAGATTCGTTGGGTGATCAACATCAGCCCATTGCTTCTTCGGGTGGCCAAGGCTTGGTGAAACAGATAGTGCTGGCTGTTGAGAAGAAAAGCACTGCAAGAGAGTTTGTTATAAAAGAGCACATGTGGCAAGCGTTGAATGGGGCATACCATGTGGGAGGGGAATGGGAGAAGGGAATCAGTGGCTAAATAGGAAAAAGGGAGTAAGGGAAGTTAGTTAGAAAGTTTGTAAGAAAAGTATGGGTAGCTTGATGGGGAGTGGGGTTTTCTTCCTCGTTGAGAGTAACCATTGTTAGTAGTTGAGTATTTTACTGGTTCAGTATTTGTAATTTCCTTCAAGGTGTCTCAAGCGGTCCGTTGTCAGTAGTCCATTCTGAGTACTGTTATATTGTTGAGCGTTAATCACTGTTTGTAAGAACTCAATTGCAATTCAAGTTTTAGTATATTTTCCTGTTTATTATCTGTTAATCTTCTGGTGCCAACAGATTCCCATTGACATGCCAGGATTCTCCAACACATCAAAGGTGCACCAGGCAAAGACTTATAATACGAAGACAAGTATCATATGGAGGTTTGTGGCTACACAGATACCGATTGGGCAGGACCCCCTTCAGATAGGCATTCCACTTTAGGCTATTGTGCCCTCTTTGGGGGAAATTTCATTTCTTAAGCAAGAAGCAAACGGTGGTAGCTAGATCAAGTACAGAAGCTAAGTATCGAGCAACCTGTGAGCTTATCTGGTTAAAAAAATTAATTAAAGAACTGCAATCCTTTAATCCAGTCATTCATGAAAGAACCAAGCATATAGAAATTGACTATAACTTGGTCCGAGAAAAGATTTAGTTTGGGGAGATCAAAACAACTTTCGTAAACTCTCATGATCAACCTACAGATAATTTCACAAGGCTCTTAGAGGTCCCTGGGTTGACTATATTTATGACAATCTTGGAGCGTACAATATATACCCACTAGCTTGAGGGGGAGTGTCAAAATATATATATATATATAAGATATTTGTATATTTGTACCACATTGTGTAAATAGTACCCAAGCCCATATAACTCATTATTAGAAGTAAAATCCTTTTGTGGTCTGATTAGACACAGTTCCTCAATTTCAAGTTATTCCATATCTTACCATTCAAAATTCAGAATTCTTATTCCATTTTACTACTCATCTCTATTGTATTAGGAAAATATCTGGTCTTCAAGCATTGCATATTCTATTACTCTAATTCAACAAATTCTTCTTTTATTCATATATAATCATATTAAGAAAAGAATAAAAAATCCAGTAAAATATATTAAATAAAACGAGGAAAAGATAAGTGAGATTCATGGAATATCTTTGACTGCCCTTCACAAATATAGTTTAGTTTCAAAGGTTTTTCCTCTTTGCAGCATTGAAGGAGAGAAGAAATGCTGAAATTAATCCAGGTGTCATATTCTTAGGTTATACTTGAAAGTGTTTATGCAAGGGTGGCAGCATAACTTATTTCAAAAAGGAAACAGCTCAAAGCTGACCTTGACATTGCTAACAATTGACTGGGCATCAGGAACAGGTGGCTGCAAGGCGTATTCTGCAAGAAGAGGCAGCAAAGATGAAACAAATGTTGATCTTTCTTGCTGTGCATCCTGACAAGGAAAAGAAAAGGCGAATATTTAAATTTAATTCAGAAAACCCAAAAGAACAAGTTACTACTCAAAGATATTCACTCAAAAATATTTAAAGCAACAAAATTATCATGCACAATTCAACATAATACACCAAACCAGTAACAAGTGGAAACACAAAAAATAACCTGCAATGCATATGTAAGACGTATATTTTCTTCAATTATGTCTTGTCTATACGATAAAGCTTTTGATGCGGCATCTACAAGTTCTTGTTGCTGCTGATCAAAGGCCTAGCAGCAATATTACACACAATTTATATAAGCATAATCTCAACCAAATAAAAGGAAAAAAGAAAAACGAAAATAAAGATACTTAAGGAATTTCATTATGACTTCAAAAATATTCATATACCAGACGCATATATGCAATGCGCTTTTCCAAGACATATTTTTCATTGCGTATTTGTGCTTCCTATCATGGAAAATTCATCAGTCACCATAATGGACATCAAGCAAAAGATCTATAGATCACAACTTCAAAAAAAGATATTTTACACCTTTTACCTTTACAGAATAATCTGCAAGATGTTTCTTTAATAGAATGATCTCTTCTTCATGTTCCCGAATCTTAATGGCCAGATCCTAAATACTTACACATATGACTCCATAAATATCAAGCTATGATTAAAGATGAAATTTTAGAACTAAAGGCGGTACCTGCTTCATTAGGGTATTAGAATTATTCATTTCAGCCATTGGCATCAAGCCTTGCCTAGGTGAATTAATTCGGGGATCAAGGTCTCCTTCCAGTAGATGCCTATGACAAAGATAGGTTTCTAAAATTACTCAAGTCCTTCTTCAACACCACTTAATACTTACATATAGAATAAATATGGCATCACATTGTAGCTCTAACAATATAATTGATATTTGATATCACATACCTGCTTGGAGATATTGACCTTGTAGATGGTGAAGACAACTGAGAGTGGCCAGTATTATCCACAGGCAGCTGATCATTTGGCAGTACTCTCAATGTTCCATTTATTTGACTGTTCTCAGAATAGTAAACTGAATTGCTTCTGGCTGCATCATTTTTACATTTGTTATTGGTGGGCGAATAGTTTACCATTTACTAATTTATATCATAAAAGAGGCCCCTGTACCATTGAGCATATATACTCGATTACCTGATGATGAAACTGATTGACGAGCTTCATAAGATCCATGACCCTGCTCCTTCCATGGAGCAACCAAACGAGATTTTTGATCCACTGACTCACTGAGTTTCTGTCAAGAGGTGTAAATTGCACACATGAGATTTTAGTGGTTTTCTTTTTAATTGTTGTTTTTAAGAACGATATAATATACTCCTTTTTACTAGTACCTTGTCTTTCCTCTCTCAAATAATATTTAGTCTTTTATCCAGGAAAAAGGAAAGTGTACATTTTCCCAATGTCATAAATCATGGGAAAAGGAAAAAACATTCATCAAAATGAATGGATGATAAAGTTTTAAAAATCAAAGTTTAGGGAAAGATGTTGCTTTATGGAGTAGACATCTAGATTTTGCAACTGAAGTACATAATTCAATTCTTCATCCGCTTAATGCCATTACAGCATATGCTTGGAAATAGGCACTTCTTCAAATACAAGAACTACTCCCACATTGTGACAGTTACTGTCCCTTGCTCCAAACAGTTATTGATAAATTCACTCAGTTGCCTAGCTGGTCTACCATAGTAACCATCTCAAGTCCATACAGGCTCCAAAAAAGCATCACTGCCTATCTTGGGTTCATTTTACAAATTGATTAGGATTTTGATGGGCATGTCACACATAATTCAAGCTGTGTGGATGAAATGGAAAAATGTTTCAGAGTTTATATGTGATTTGTGGTCACAAAACACCACTATCAAAACTCAAAGGAAATTTCAACCAAACAGCTATGAGACCAATGATGCTCTAACAGTGAATTTTGAGCAGCGAAGAATCAACAAGAGCAAAGAAATAAAAGTGTAGAGTAAGAATGACGAAGTGGATCCACAGTTGAGCGAACATATAAGAAAAGATAAGAATACAAATAACTGAATCCGAGAGAATATTCCAACTTCCTCTCAAATAGGATAAGCCCATTATTAAGCTGATTAATTATTCATGTAAATTTTCACTTTCAAAATTACTTCTGCTAAGTGAACTGCATATCCATAAAATTAGAAGACAATACTGGTATATGTTGAGGGATTGGGCAGCTTTACTCCTTTGAAGGTTTTTTTTACTTCCTTGTTTATGTTTTCTTTTTCCGTTAAGGAGGACCACTTATCCTACTCTTTGTAACTATCTTCTCTTTGAGTTAATGGATTTCTTCTTTATCCAAAACACACACACACACACACACACACACATATATATAAACAATCTTGTCATTATTCTTATGCTCCCATCATCATTTCTCTATATTGGTAATCTAAGATTGTCCTAGAACCTATATCTTGGACATCCTAGAAATCCAAATAATGTCCTCAATTCTAGTGAAAAAGCTCCAGTTGGCAACTCCTACATTAGTAAAACAAAAGTCCAATTCAAATAGCAGAGAATCACAAAAGAATTGAGAAAAAAACTGCGCAATCAAATGTAAAAACTTTATAAAAAAAAGGTTCATATTTTAACATAGACAGAACCAATATGCAATAAATCGAGCAGATGTCATTACAGAACTTACATATTTTTCCAGTTCCTGAATTTTACTCAGAAGTTCAGACCTAAGCCGGCTATTCTCATCTACCTGTCAAAAGCAACATGTTACATCCTTAGCATCCCATCTTAAATCGTATGACATGAAAGATGCCACCATTTCGTTATACTAAAGTGAACTTACAACTGCAACTCTGAGTGACAGTACTGTTTTCCTTTATGAACAGAAGTTAAAATCTCATTGGTGGAACACAGCAGTCAAACCAGAAGAGGGAGACGGAGAAAGAAAGGGCGGCCTACCAACCAGGATTATATATTTTATTATCATACACAAGCCATACTCACTATCTCTACTGATAAAGGTTCCTAATGTCTCATGGACCCAAATTCAAGCATAAAAATAGGTTCCTTTTCTTTTCTTTTTTCATTTGCTAAATGCATGTCAGTAAATCGAGAGCCAAGCAAGCACTACAGCACATAGCATATTAAATAAGTCATAATCAAAACTTTGAAAACTTCAACCGTGTAGCACTACACTACACGTTAAACACACAATTTCGTATGCAAATAATGAAGAACATGCAGAACCAAACAATCATACTCGTAATTAAAAATGGAGCATGTGTTGAAACCAAAGTACCTGTTGTTTAATGGTGGCCTCGGCAGCTTCAACAGCCTTCATGACCTGATACAAGTTATCATTGTTGTTAGAAGAGAAGTTAGATTGATCACGCACATGTTGCTGACCGTGCTGGTTAATACCCAAGCCTGAGAATTTCTCAGCTAATTTCCCATCGTGACCATTCTCCATGCCCTTCTTGTCCAATCACCCCACAACAAGCAAAACCGACAAAGTATCACACCCCCAAATCAATCACCAATTATCATGAGCCTACACAGCTAGCTAGGGTTCTAAATTATAATCTTCACAAGCCACTTAGCATTTCCAACTCACTATTGAACCTTGTAACACTCTTTCGTCCAAAAAAAAAAAAAAAAGGTTCTCCTTAGCTACCCACAATCGAATCCCACCCTAGCAAACGTCAATACAATTGAACTTGCTGCATCAGAAAAGAGATCAATCACGCAACCAGAAATCTGGAGCGAAAAATCCGGGAATGAAGGGAGAAGAAAAAGGTAGAGGAAGTCGATTTTGGAATCAAGGAGGAAGGTTGGGTTTCAATTGCTCTGGAATTTGGAATGGAAGAAGAAGACTTTGAAAGTTTGAAACCCTAAAACAAGTGAAACAAGAAGAACAGAAAAAAACAAAAGGGTTGAGGAAATAAAGAATAGAATGATGACTGTGATGGTTATGAATATGAAGGATGAAAAGAGTGTGGTCACTGTGGTGTGGTGTGGTGGGTCTTAGGATTAGATTGGAATTTAGATTAAGCAAAGGTTTGAGTTGGCATTGTCCTCTATTCTCACTATAAAAACAGAGAAAGCTTCTTGTTTAGAACCCCGCCCCCCCTTCTTAATTATATTCATCTTTCTATTTGTTTGATTAATAAATGCATGCCATGTATTTGGCTCTCCCCAATTGGTTCCTTCCTTTTCCTCGTGATTACATTTCCACTTCAATCCTTTTTTTTTCCACAAATTAATAGATGCAAATTCTCATCATACTTCCTTTGGAGTGAAGTACAATCCACGGCTTCATGTTTCATGGATGGAAAGGTCGTCATATCATGCATCTCATGCTTTTATTTTCAAAGTGATTCAATTTTGCTTTGTATATTTCTAATATATTGTTCATAGAATTTGGTATGTAGATTTTAGATAGTGATTATTTACAGTTTAATGATGGGTGTTTTTTTTAAGAACAATACTTCTATACAAGTTATATACCATTATTTCGAAAATATTTATAAAAAAAATTATTCTTCACCCTCTTATGAAAGGATGTGGGCTACAACTTCTAAAAGGGAAAAAGAAATGAAACATGTTTGAGAATATTATTGTCATTAATTTAATTTAAAGAAGTTTTGGTTAGTTAGAATTCATATTACACGAATGGTCATGACTATATTTTAGGGGGAATCTATTAAGCTTATATAAAAATGAGTGAATTTCGCTAGCTTTTTTACTGTCTTCTCCTCACAACAGGACACACTTTTTTTTGTATTAGTGTGAGATAAAAAAAATTCTTATTTTCAACCAAATTCTAATTGTTAACAAAAAAATTATAAGCAAATCTTTCAATGGTACATGTTAAACAACTTGGATATTCAAAATAACAGTGAATTCCTATCAAATATTCTCCATCTCTTTTTCATTCCCATTACTTCTCTTTCCCTCCAACCTTTCAACAAGGTCACACATAAGTTCTAAGAAGGGTTATTTTAACCATAAAATCGGTTTGATAATCCCAACAAACTATTTTCTTTTGTATTATTGGTTCTGTAATGGTTGAAATTTATTTACTAAAGTTAATTTCAAAATGATTGGACAATTAATGTTAAATTTCCAATTATCGGGGTTTATTTATCGAAGTCAATCTCAAATAATTGAACCGTTAATGTTTTTGACATTACGTTGTCAAAAGCTTTAAACAAAAGATCATGTTATAAATGAGTTGACGAATCTAGTGGAGATCAAAGGATTTAAAAAAAACATAAGACAATTAAATAAAATAGGCACGTGTTATTTTGGGTTGAAAATATATATATGTGTGTATATATTGGATCTCTAATTATTATAATTTATTCACTGAAGTCAATCTTAAAGTTAAAGTTGAATTTTCAATTATTGGGATTTATTTATCAAAGTAACTCTTAAAATAATTGAACATTAATGTTTTTGACATTACGTTGTCAAAAGTTTTAAACAAAAGATCGTGTTATAAATGAGTTGACGAATCTAATGGAGATCAAAGAATTTAAAAGAAACACAAGACAATAAGGCACGCACGTGTTGTTTTGGGTTGAAAATATATATATGTGTATATATTGGATCTCTAATTATTATAGTTTATTCACTTAAGTCAATCTTAAAATTATTAGACGGTCTATGTTAAATTTTCAATTATTGGGAATTAAAGTAACTCTCAAAATAATTGAACCATTAGGGCTTGTTTGGTACATAATATAGGATAAGGCCTGATAGTGTAAGACCTGATAGTATGAGGCCTGAGTGTATAAGGTCTGATTGAATTTTAATATTTCCAGCGTTTGGCACGGTATTGTATAAAATAATATATTGTATGAGATGATATCATCTAGTATTTGGTAATGCATTGTATAATACTATATATGATAAAAATAAATATTTTTAATAAAAATATCCTTTAATAAAGAATTTATATAATTCTTCGAAAAAATATCATATGATATTAATTTTTATAAAAATTTATTGATCAGTGTGTCCAAAATATAAATTAATTTTTATAAAAATAAAAATATTTCATATTTTTAAAATTAATATATTGAAAATTTTATTTTTATTTTAATAGATTAATATTAAAATAATATATTAATTTTTGAGAATTACATTGGTCAACGATGTTAATACGTCAGTCTCTTATCAGGCTTTATCCCTCACCCCTAGGCCGGATTAAGTTATACATCGTTTTGATGTATTAAGGGATTATGTTGTATAAGCTTATATTATATGATGGTAACACCAAAATACTGAAAATATCATAACGTATAGTATAAGCTTATACTATCATGCCTTATACGTCACACCAAACAGGCCCTTAATGTTTTTGACATTACGTTGTCAACAGTTTTAAACAAAAGATCGTGTTATAAACGAGTTGACAAATCTAGTGGAGATCAAAATATTTAAAAGAAACACAAGACAATCAAATAAGGCCACGTGATGTTTTGGGAATAAGGTACGCACGTGTTGTTTTGGGTTGAAAATGTGTGTGTGTGTGATCTTTAATTATTATAATTTATTCACTAAAGTCAATCTTAAAATTATTAAACGGTTAAAGTTGAATTTTCAATTATTGGAATTTATTTATCAAAGTAACTCTTAAAATAATTGAACCATTAATGTTTTTGACATTACGTTTCTCAAAAGTTTTAAACAAAAGATCGTGTTATAAATGAGTTGACGAATCTAACGGAGATCAAATATTTTAAAAGAAACACAAGACAATCAAATAAGGTACGCACGTGTTGTTTTGGGTTGAAAATATATACACGTGTATATATTGGATCTCTAATTATTATAATTTATTACTGAAGTCAATCTTAAAATTATTAGACGGTAAATGTTAAATTTTCAATTATTGGGATTTATTTATCAAAGTAACTCTCCAAATAATTGAACCATTAATGTTTTTGACATTACGTTGTCAACAGTTTTAAACAAAAGATCGTGTTATAAACGAGTTGACGAATTTAGTGGAGATCAAAAGATTTAAAAGAAACACAAGACAATCAAATAAGGGCACGTGTTGTTTTGGGAATAAGGTACGCACGTGTTGTTTTGGGTTGAAAATGTGTGTGTGTGATCTATAATTATTATAATTTATTCACTAAAGTCAATCTTAAAATTATTAGACGGTTACTGTTGAATTTTCAATTATTATGATTTAATTATCAAAGTAGCTCTCAAAAATCAAAATAATTGAACCATTAATATTTTTGACATTATGTTGTCAAAAATTTTAACAATCTTAAAATTATTAGACGGTTAATGTTGAATTTTCAATTATTAGGATTTAATTATCAAAGTAGTTCTCAAAATAATTGAACCGTTAATGTTTTTGACATTAATATGTCAAAAGTTTTAAACAAAATATCATGTTATAAATGAGTTAACGAATCTAGTGGAGATCAAATGATTTAAAAGAAACACAAGACAATCAAACAATGTACACACGTGTTGTTTTAGGAATAAGGTATGCACGTGTTGTTTTGAGTTGAAAATGTGTGTGAGTGTGGGTGATCTCTAATTATTATAATTTATTCACTGAAGTCAATCTTAAAATTATTAGAAGGTTATTGTTGAATTTTCAGTTATCAGGATTTAATTGTTCTCTAAAATCAAAATAATTGAACCATTAATATTTTTGACATTACGTTGTCAAAATTTTAACAATCTCAAAGTTATTAGACGGTTAATGTTGAATTTTCAATTATTGGGATTTAATTATCAAAGTAGCTCTCAAAATAATTGAACCATTAATGTTTTGACATTACGTTGTCAAAAGTTTTAAACAAAGGCTTACATTATAAATAAGTTGACGAATTTATTGGTGATAAAATGATTTAGAAACACAAGATAAGTAAATGGCCATACTCACATATTTTTTTAGGGGGTAGAAAGAAATAAAAAAAAATTGAATCTCCAATCATTAGAACTTATTAACCACAGTTAATTTAAAAATCGTTAGCTGGTTAATGTTGAATTTCCAATTACTGGGATTTAATCATTAAAGTAACTCTCTAAATAACTTAACAATTAATGTTTTTGACATTGCATTGTCAAAAGTTTTAAAAGAAAGGATAGCATATTTGTTTTACAAATTGTAACACTGATTTCTCTTATTGGACACATTTTGTATTTCGCCCATATCCTGAGTTGTAGACCTTGGATTTGAACATACTCCAGTGTCTTAAAAAGTTTAGAAGTATATCGACAACTTTCTTGCAGGGGTCAAATTCTAATTTGGTAGTTAATGGGTTGTAAATTGTGCCCAAAGTCCTTGGGGCAGTGCTGTTGTGAATTTAGAACCTACTTCGAAAATTTGGCCATATATGGAGTTACAGACATCGGTTTGGTCCATTCTTAAATGTTTTGGAAAGGTGAGACTTTAAGATAAAACTTTTGTGAAGAAGTCAAAATCCAATTCTAATGTTTAAGTAGCTTAAATTGGTCATAAAATCAAGACATTGGTGTTGTCATATTAACTAGGCAGATATATATTGTAGTAAAATGGGCATAACTTCAGCTAGAGAGCTCTAAATACAGTGAGGCTTGAACCTATGTAAAGCTAACTCAAAGATATTTAATTTTGAAAAGCTTTAGAATTTTTAGACGAGTGAAATGGTCTTAGTTTTAATTTTAAGTAACTGCCCTATTTCTAGAAATTCATCTTGAAATTGTTGGTTTGCAAAGGCTGTAACTTGGGATGTATAAATCCAATCGAATCTTATAATATGTCCCTAGACAAATTTAGATGTATGGTTCAACATAATAATTAAATAACTAGATGTCAATAGAGGTAAAATGGATTGACTTGTAAAATAATCGATATTGATGGATTATTTGCCTTTGGTAGGTAGTTGTTGATGGAATAGATGTTATGGTGCCCTGTTCAGGGGTATGAGACCCTAGGGGAGTGGATCTAGATCCTCCTACCATAATTAATGTTTTAACATGAT